CGATTGAGCGTTGGCATTCAACAGACCGTAGGAAAGTTGTACCTNCCGGGCGTTTGGTCTCCATCCTCGACGATGGTCTCCAAACCGAACAGCGCCAATAAAATCAATACGCACTGGACGCATATCCTGTTCATGAGCGGCCGGCTCTCCTCGCCCAGCAGTGGATGGATTTTATCCCATGCGATGTGTTTCTGCTCCACAAACAACAAACAAGTGTGAACGGCTATCAAGTAAGGCGACAGCTGGTGGGGCACATTCTTACCTTGAGATAGCGCGCGTAGCTGAGAATGGTCTCTGGCTCAAACACAGGCTCTCGGCAGTAGAAGTAGAGGAACAGAACCTCAAGGCAGAGACTCTGCTCTTCGAGATTGTTCTTCGCCCAGGCCTCTTGGTCTTGTCTCGCTTCCTGTGACACCCACCAAGGCACGAGTAAGGGGATTGGCACGGGTAAGGTTAAAGGGGAGGCAAGCACGAGTAAGGAATAGGTACCAATCTCTCCTTGGGAACGGGTTCGTCCGACAGATTGATAAACTGCTCGAGCATGCGACGGTCGAGCTTGTTCTTGGGATCGCTCAGCCGCTGTTGTGCCTCTTCGACAGGGGCGTTATCTTGGTCTGCCATGGAGATGCGGAAGATGGCCGAGAGGCACTTGAGCAGCGCTTGCCGCTCGCGGTAGTAGTGCCGCATGACCTTCGCGGCACCGGATCGTGAAGAAAGCGTAAGCCAGGGTTAAGTCATGCAGCGGGAGGAGGGAAAGGGCTGCGAAGCAGAAGGCCGATAAGCTGCGAGAAGGAGCGTACCTCGCGCAGGGAGGTTTCGGCATCGTACTCGAAGCGTCCTGTTGCTTCATACTTCATGAAGTTGCGGAAGATCTTGAGTGCCTCCACCGCGTCAAGGTCCTGTATGACGGCAGCATGGCGCGCCTGGTGAGATCTCATCCTGCAGATGCTATGGGCGGGCAGCTCGTGTACCAATCGTTTGCTCAACTTGGCTACAAAGTCGCGTTCGCTTGCATTAATTGTCTGGACTTTGCCCCCAAGCTCCACCTTGCCCGAGCGAACCTTCTCCAGCGATGCACCTGAGGAGGGCTTATACGCTGAGAGATTGTCGACGAAACGCTTGTAGTTCTTATCTAGCAGTTGGGCCTGCAGCGATTTCATGTTAATTTAAATCAACAATTGATCTCAGGT